CTGCATATGTTTCAAATGTTCTATGTATCTACTTGTTCTGTTTTATGTTGTCATCCAAACCATGTTTATTTGCACAGTTTTAATACAAATTATCATTTAATTGCAGACCAAACCTAAGAAGATTGAATGTATACCAAGGCATTTATATCAAAGCAACTGCCACTAATGCCTAAGCTATTCATTTGGTTTATTTTAAACTGCTCCAATAAACATGCAGAGTTACAATGAAACCAACTGGTAAACTGTAGCTGTATACCAGGATATTACTGTTATTTTGGCTAATTGAGGATTTTTCAGCACAAAGGCAGAATACCTCTAAATTAGAGCTAAAACATTGCACTTCCACTCTGTCAACTCAATTCACAAAGTACAGTACAAGCAATTAGACACCTCTAAGTATGTTCCACACATGTATAATTAATAGTGTAAGCATGGAATAGGTGTTCTTTGTAGCATCATTTTTAGGAAGGGGAGGGAGAAAAAGCAACACACTATAAGTTCTCTAAAAACTAAACTAAAACTCTACTGGTTACATATATTACAGTGTGACATCTGGAATTTATTAAACTGCATACATTCGCCCCTCAGCATCCATGGGGTATTGGTTCCAGGACCACCGTGGATACTCAAGTCCTTTATATAAAGTGGCGTAGTTATTTGCACATAACCTAGGCACATCCTTGTGTATACTTTAAATCATCTCTAGATTACTTATAATACCTAATACAATGTAAATGCTATGTAAATAGTTGTTTCATCACAATTGAAGACTTGCCTTTCTTTTCTATGAGTTTCTTGAGCTCTTCTGAGAAGCCTGATGCTGCCTCAGCATCATCGGCCAATGCGATTCTTCTGTGATCTTTAAGTTCTTTGAGGCTGTAGCAATTTACAAAGCTAGCCAGCCATCCCTTACTAGCCTTAAACTCATTCCTCTCTCTCTCCTCAACCCCCTCATACTTAGCATTTGACGGATTGCTTTGACTATTAATTGCTTTTTAGGAGCCTTTTTTTTCCCCACAGAAACAAAGGATGCGGACAACACAAACAGCGAACTAAGGAAAGGCGAGGTGAACAATGCTCAAACAAGGGGTGCTGGAGAGAGACTGAGGGTCTATGAAATGGTGGGAGGCTACAGCAGGGTATGCCTACACATCACTTCATTCGAGTGGATTTAGTGTCGTGCTTGGCCTGCGGTAAATTCAAGTTTTGTTTTTTGAAATTTCTTTTTTTTCTCTGAACATTTTCGATCTGTGGTCGGATGCAGAACAACTGTATTCAGATAAGGAAAAGACTTGTTGGTGAGGTTTAGTAAGGAGATGACAACTACCTATTCCCCTTCCGTATACACAAACAAATGACTATTCCAAGGCATCTAAAATTTTTATATGCATGTTTGTAGACTTTTGTAAAATGTATATTAAATATTTAGACAAAACATTTATTTCAGTCATGTTCTGACTCAGCACTATGCCATTAACACTTAAAAGATACATGTTACCTGCTTTATGTGCACATGATTTTCCCCAAGGTGCGTACTATATATGGTTGAGAGAACAAAAGGGAAATCTTTCATAGTGTCCAATGCAGATCCTTGTCTTTATTCACTGTTGGCACCTTGTCAAGTTGTCAGCACATAGGACTCTGATCTTTCAAAGACTCATCAATTGCTGATTCTAATTGTTCATTTCTTTGCAGTGTCACAGATCCCCTTCAGTCCCATGAAACAAGAATGAAGTCATGTCCATTCCCAGACTATATGTACAACCCATGCCTAATAGCAGTGAGATGTCATGAACATCTACCTTCATATTTTGAAGGAAATAAATCTCTTCATTTTTGTAGTACAGTAAATAAGAGCAATGATATTAATGAGTTTGAAGGCTCTAAATTATGTAACCTAAAGTTATACATTGTTTTTTTGTTATTGTGTGCTGCTGAGTGGATTCCTACTGATAGCAACCCAATAGGATGGAGTAGAACTTCTCCATAGGGTTTCCAAGGCTGTAATCTTTCGGGAAGCAGACTGCCACATCTTTATCCCATTGAGCAGCTTGTGGGTTCGAACTCTTGACCTTTTGGTTAGCAGCTGAGGGCTTAATCACCACTGTGCCCCCAGGACTCCTTAAGTTATATGTATATTAGATTTTATAAATGTAATGTCTAGAGGGTTTAGCCACTCTGTACAATGAAAAGAACTAGTTTTATTAAAGAATTTGATGGTCTAAGTTTAGTTATCTAAAGTTATATATTTGTCTTTAAAATGTAATGAATAGAGGATTTATCCACTTAGACATGTGTTCTGTAAGCAGGCTCAGGCTCAAACTCTAAGTCCTTGATTTCAGCCTGTCTAGCTGACCACAAAATAATATCTTCCTGACAAGGGACTCTGACTTCAGATCTGGGCTTGGCTAAGGGTTGTGCAAGGATGAAGTAACATTTATTTATACTCTAACTCAACATGTAAATTTTACACAGTTGATGAGAAGTTTCTTTACTCTAGGTTTATTTGGGGTAAGTCAAATGATCAGGTGAGGTTATGTATCAGATTTTCAAATTTAGTCAGCTAAATTAAGCTGTTTCTCTTTAAAAGTGGGGGAGGAAGGCATGTATTTTATGGTCAAAACGAATGGAAATAGTGGTTTTCATTAGTAGACTTGGGGTCCATTTAGTATCATTCGGATATGTTCATTTGTCAACTATTTCGTACCTTATCTAACCAGAGTGGGTTTTGATTTTTGTATATTTTTAAAGTAAGCCTATTATTTGTTTGGAGTTCCTGGGTGGTGAAAATGGTTAAGGCACTAGACTACTAACCAAAAGTTTGGAGGTTTGAGTCTACCCAGAGGTGCCTTGGCAGAAAGACCTGGCAATCTAACTCAAAAACCGTAGCCATTAAAAACATTATGGAGCACAATTCTACTCTAACACATATGGGGTAGCCAGGAGTTGGAGTTGACTCCACAGCAACTGGTTAAGGATTAATAGAATTTGATAGCATTTCGTTTTTTATTCCATAACCATAGCATCAATTTACCAAGTTACTCAAGTTTTGCGCTATCCCATTAAGGAGTAAAAAAATTCTTCAGTATACAATGGTAAGGACATTAAATATTCATTTTGCTTTAATTAGCTCTGCAGATGAGTGATTTACTCAGTGTAGGGGACTGCTTACTAGATCTCTTTGAGGTCTCTTTCAGGTCTAACTTTCTATGAAGGCTTTTTCTTGATTACTTCTTTAATTAAAAGTGTGAAATGACAGATTATAAACATTATATAAAGTAGCTTAAAATAAATTTGTAGCTTCTAGCATTTAAACTTTTCCCCTTTATATTAATCACCATTATTAGTATAGTTCAGTATTATCAGCTTAAATGGGTAATATATAGAAAAATTATCTGACACATAAAGCATGGACTATATGTACTCTGGAGCAGCTACAAAACTAAGGCCTTCTCTTAAGTAGTTATCAAAAAGTAACCCCAAAATTTTCTGGATTTTTCAGTTAAATAGTTTGTCTTGTCAATTACTAAGGTTCTCCCACATAAGCCTTCAGAATAATTTTTTTTTTAATAATCTGATATAGGAGCTGGTGTTGAAAAAAAGAAATCATAACTTACTTTAGCAGTTTAAGTTATCCAACTTCCCTCTTTTGGAGTACACAGAAATAAAGTATATTTGCTGCATTTTAATCCCTCAAAGCCTTTTATGACAAGTATCTAATTAGTCTGGGCCACAATAATATTTCATCTTTGACTAGAATACTCCATTGAAATGCAACCACATACTGTTCTATCCCTACCTCCAGGAGTAAAGGGGCATACAATTTTCAACGCATATATAGGAAGGCACATTTAGGAGGAAATAACTATTTTGAGAAAAATAAATAATAATATGCTCTTCCTAACTAGTATTGAAAAAGTTAAAAAAAAAGCAGCTTAGCAGTTTGGTTAGTTTGTCAAATGTCAAGTTGTGCTACTGTGATACGAAGGGTCTTGGCTTAATAAAATGGCTAAAGCTACCAGCATAAAAATTAAAATCTGATTAATCTTTAAGATCTATAAGTTATATCTAGGTTATACTTTACAATTCTTTTCAGTTAATTTAGAGCTTGGTGAGAGGAAAATGTTCAACTTCATAAACTAAGCTAAAGTCTTACTTATGCTACTTTTTTCTAGTCTAATTTACCATGACTAACACAAGAGTGAAATTAAACCCCACCAATTTAATGCTATTTTCATATTTACAGACTCAAATACATTCTCTCCCTTCAAATATTAATCTCTTAGTCTTCTCGGAGAACTGAAATCATTTGTTTTTGTAAACTCTGTATAAAACACCACGTTTGTCAAAGAAACAAGTAAACAAGCTTCACCTAGCAATGATCCAAAAGATAAAAGGAAATAAAAGATTAAATTTATTTATAATATTTTAGTTTTCAGTTGACCTTGTGTTTTTTTCAGGATTAAATAGTCCTTAGGCTATAAAGTTTAATGAAAATAATATTTGAAAGTTTTTGTCCTTATTTGTACCTTAAAATTGAGATTTGTAGCTGCTTCAATAGCTACTAGATAGATAATTACAATGAAGCCAGTTTCCATGAATAAAACCAAAATTCTTTCACTGTTTCCACAGGAATTAAATCTATCTTCTTTTAGTCATAGTCAATATATAAGAGGCAGTTGGTATGGTAAACTGGCTTAACTATAATTGGAGACCCGGTCACCTAGTATCAATTTTCACTGGTAGGCTATTATATCAAATAATATTTACTGAGTATCTTTGAGGCCCAAGGCCACTGTAATAAAAGACTCTTATAGTACACATTTGGTATTATAAACAACTTCTTCTTATGAACATTTGATAAGGCACTTTAAATACATAACAGAGCAATACTCTCCAGGGACGAAGCTTTTTAAACTCAATAGATATTGATCTTTCTTTGGCTACAAATAAAGAAAATATGTGATTACATGTAATTGTTTAAGAATATGAATGTGCTATTAAAGGCAATGGTTAATTGTTGGATGCAAATGAGCATAATTCCATTTGCCTTCTCTAAAAGAAACTTGACTGTGGTCATTCATTTTGATATGGTCGGCTGCGTAAGGTCTAGATGGCATAGCGAAGTTGTAACTATAAAATCCATAGGAAGGATAGAAAGAGCAACCAAGTGCCTTCTGGGCGATAGAGTTTGGGGGAAAAATGTTTCCAGGTGACTGTAATCCATACAACATTTGATTGGCAGAATTAGGTGCCTGTAGATACTGCGCACTGAAGTCTTCAGATGTACAATTTTTTGAACTGTTGGATCCCAGGGGAGATAATATGGGTATTTCCATCATGAGTGGGGCTAAAGACTGGGAATTGTTGATGCTTGATAGCCTTTCAGGAACAGGCAAGACCATAGGCTGATGTCGCCAAAAATTAGTTGGGCAAATTTTGTAGCAAAGGGGCAGGTTGATATTGTGCAGGTATGCCTCTGGACAGGGCATTCCAAGGCAGCTTGCAGGTAAGTGAAACAAAGGTGGGGAGCAAGGTGGAGAAAGCAAGGAGTTCAAAGGAGAGGGGGCCCCTCCACTAGAGGTCACTGGAGATGAGCCACTGCTTCCACCTGTGAATGACAATTCAGGTAATGAATAATGAACTTCATATTCCTGTTGAATTAGTAATCATATTCACACCATCCGCTCAGGTTCACAGTTCTTTTAGTTTCTTTGGGAAAGGACATGCTTATTCCTCTGACCAAAGTTGAATTAGTATCTCTACTACTAACACTATTAATATTAGAACTACTACTATGTATCCCGTATTGAGCATTCACTGTACTCAAGGAGTCCGCTAGGCACTTGAAACACATTTATCCAATGAATTACAAAAGAAGTCTGGTTATAATGCCACCCGGATTCAATTATATCTTACAAGTAAAACTAGATTTTTTTTAACTGTTTAAAAAATGTTTACTAACACAAGTAATTGACTAATTTGAACAAATTGGTTATTTTGGATTTATAGATAGCTTCAGTCTGATAAAAATCAGTGAACATGAAATTGATATTGTATAAGCGAAAATGGCATATTTAAAAAGATTAGCTTTTTTTTCTTATATGAAAATAATGAAGGGGGATACTTCCACGGTATACTATATGAAGAATTGAAGATAACTTTGCAGGGTAAGAAACATTGAGATGAGAATGAAAGTGTTCATGTCAATGTTGTCAGGTGATCTTTTACGGTTGCCTACCCATTGCCCTCGAGTTGATTCCAACTCATAGCAATCCTATAGGACAGAGTAGAACTGCCCCATAGGGTTTTCAATGCTATAATCTTTATGGAAGCAGACTGCCACATCTTTCTCCCATGGAGTGGCTGATGGATTCCAACTGCCGATCTTTTGGTTGGCAGATGAGCACTTAACCACTACACCACCACGGCTCCTTTTATAGTTGCCTACCATCCACTAAAATTAGGACTAATTATAAGGGTCAGGAAAATCTAGACTCTAAACTTTATTTTTGTGTTTGAATTCAGTCAAACAATTGGTTTTGACTGGATTTGATCAAAGTTTTTTTGCTTGTTTTTTGATGTTGCTGTTGTTTTTCTTAGCTATTTTGTGTAAGTAGATCTAATCTAATCCTTTATTAACAGGGCAGCAATTATCTCTATAATAAAACATTCAAAAGTCGTTTTAGAAATTGAGACCCCCCCCTTTTTTTTAGAGAATTCTGAGCATCTTTAATTAAGAAAATGTATATTTGAAAATTTTCAATTAAGTTCATCTATAGCTTTTTCATTATTACTGCATTTTAGAGTGACTTGGCTATTTTAAAAACTTGCTGCCTCGGTGCTATTATTTAATATGATACTGTCAAATAGCTATTCATATTTTTATATGCAACTCCTTAAACCACATCAATGCAGTCAATTCAATGAAATATTTCACAGAATGATTAGACTTGCTCTTTTCACATTTCAGCTGGTTGTTACCGAATCCTGTAAAAATAAACCTAACTATAATGTTAATAATTTACTCCATAATTTTTACCTCAAATTAATATTCAAAGACAAGCAACTTTAATAGAGTAAGCACAAAAGAGGTAAATAATGCCATGTTGCTTGCAAATAAAGACTCATATTTATTGTTACGTTCCTCCACCAGAAACCCTGCCTTGCCTAATTATTATTTAGTCATGAGATATGCTACCTATGTTGGGCTCAAATATTTTAAATGCTTATAACAGTTAAATTAATTTTGATGGTTTAGTATTATTTTCATTATTTATTTTTCTCACAACAAAAGGAAAATCATCGCTAAGTGATGATGTAATTTAATGGAAACCATTTTAAAATGCACTGAGAGTTTCTCACAAAATATAAAATATTCATTTCAATATCTAACATACTTGCAAATAAGGCCACACACACAACAGGCAGATTCTAATAAATATGAGGCAGTGAGATGCTGATGAACTCAAATGAGCTCTGCAGATCTCAGGGTATAAGTAAACTCAAGAAGACAGAAGTCACTTAAGTCCAAAGCTCTGCTCTCTTCCTTCATGCCAGCGAACCTCCCTTTTGCCTCTAACTTCCCTATCATAGTAAATATATGTGCCCACTTGCTTAAAAACATACATTTTCTGGCATGTGCTTATCCCCATGTGGTGGTGCAATGGTTAAGCTCTTGGCTACTAACCGAAAGGTTGGTGGTTGGAACCCACCCAGCCGTTTGCTGGAGAAAGACCTGGTGATCTGCTCCCCTAAAGATTACAGCCTAGAAAACCTTATGGGATAATTTTACTCTGTCACATGGGGTCACTGCAAAATCTATGGCACCTAGCAACAACAATATTTGGCACAAGGGTTCTGGTTGGTGATATTTCATTAACACAGAAAAATAAAACTTAAGGTTAGAAATTTACTTACTTTGTGTGTCTGCACCAAAGGTTTTAAAATCCAGAGTGAGAGAAGACCTCCATGGGTAGGTCTCTAAAAGACCATCCAATACACCCCTAAAAAAGAGATTCAACTTTCAGCAATGTCAGAATTCAATTCCTGAAAGTAATGATTTATATAAACTTCTGATTTTGTTATAGTTTTTAGGGGTGATAGTCTGAAATATTATTCTGCTATAGCTAGACTTCTGAATAAAATTCAGTCAAACTTAGGAATCTAGAATAGGCAATATCTTAAATGTAGCTGGAGGAAGGAGTGGGAGGAGGTAAGGTTTTGGAGACATAACATCTGAGTTCCATTCCTACCACCTACTAGATATGTAACAAGGCATCTGAGTGTCAGTTTCTTTAACACTTGTGAAAAGTACTTCACAAATATCAGGAATAATTGTTATTATTTTGTTTACCTGTTCCTTCCAGGATCTCTAAATCCTTTGGCAAAAGGATTCCTGTCTATTTTCAGTTTTGTAATCTATGAATTAACAAGAGATAAAGTCAGTGCTCTCAGTAATAACACTGCCATCATTGCATATAATGGTTACAACCACAAAACAGTTTGTAACTTGTAATATTGAACTTTATGTAAATGCAATCATATTGCTAAGTCAAATTTGGAATGGTTATCCCCTGGCCACCTTTGCTCTGCTGTCTTTTCTAATGAGAGTCACACAAGTCATAATCAAATTTGCCTTGATGACAATGCAACAAAACTATTAATGTTTTCAATTGTGGAAAAAACAATCCATAAAGTGCAGCTTGTCTCCATCCCACAGTTCCCTCTGGGGCCACCCCCACTTTCTTTTCCTTACCTGCTGGTTTTGGTAGGCAGTAACGGTGGTAAATTCAGTTTCTTTAAAGGAAAATGTTTTAACCCCTTCAGTGGGCAGGGACTGAATCTGGGACAGGTCAACCCTGTTGTCCTGCTCCATCACGTGCACGCGGGGCTTGTACTTGTGCATGGACTGCAGAATGATCTGGAGGTGAAATGGTCAAATGCTGCCCGCGAAACTGGCTTCCCTTCCAAACACTGCCCCACTCTCATCACCACCCCCCTAACATGAGCGCACAGAAAAGTGAGGCTAAACCAGAGACTCTCAGTTTGCCACACAGAGAGGCCCTTTCTTTGCCATTTGGCCCCAACCAGAGGACCTTAGATGTAAGGGGTTTCTGGAGAGAGGCACTGCCTTGTCACAAGGGAGCAATGATTACGTTTCCAGATGGGGCCCTTTCCTGCTTCCAAACATGGGTGATCATGTGATGTAGAAGTGTCCCTGGGATCCCATTGCCTGACATAGTCTCCCTGGGTGGTTACTGATGGGTCTGGAAGTGAGGAGCAACCTTCCGACATCCCCACCCACGCGAATCCTGGGGGTCTTCCACTTGGTCCTTTGGTGGCTGGCACAGGGCCAGGCTGGGCAAGATAGGGGGAGTGGCAACTGAGAATAAGACTAAAGGTCGATGTTACCTGAAAAGATTTTTCATGGGGCTGTGGTGTGTTTGTGTGTGTTGGGGGCGGTTTCCAGGCTGTGTTCCAGGGTTTCCCCCTTGCAACCTCCCACCACACCAGGCCACCCCACCTCCACCACACTGAAGGTGCCCATTCAACAGCGTGGGCTAAGGGAAGGCTATCAGAGTGATTGCGCAGGTGGCCTAGGTGCAAGAGAGCCCGGGAAGCATTCTCTCCTACTCTCCCAGACTAGGCGTCTTGGCTTAAACAGGTTTCTTTTCGTCCCCAAACTCCCAACCATCACCACCTATATCTCCTAGCACTCTCAGATGCCAAACAAAGCCCACGGGAGCTGTGGGTTGGCTACATTGCCCAAGCGTCCAAAGCTTGGACATTTCCTAGAAAGCACAATATACGCATCTGGGAGAAGCACAGATTGTGCTCACGCTCACGTACGTGGCCTTTGTCATCCATCTCGTTGTTGGTGAGTTTCACGCGATCGAAACTGATGATCTGCCGCATCCAGGTCTCTCCTGAGCAGGGCGAGTCCGGGTGGACATAGAGCCTAGGGGTGATGCACGTGTGGTCCGTATTCCCAGCTACCATCCACTGGGAGCTGTGGTAGACATACCTGAAAAGACATGGGGAGTGACATTAGGCACAGCTGGCCAAAGCCAGAAGCATGGGAGAAAAGCTGCAGGGTTCAGGTCCAAAGGGACTGGACTCAGCCAATGTTAGCCTGCTCATCCCAAAAGCAGAGAAGCAAACAGTTTGTTCTGCTGTTTCTCGGCCGCGGTCCCAGCAGGCTTTTGAGCTGAGCCTTCTCCCTTGCCCTCACACCCAGCCCTGATTCCAGGCAGACTGTCTCATTGGAGGGCCAGGCACCGATCTCTTGGTCCAGTGCTCACAGCTCCAGCGCTGGCGACTCCCACACATCTCCTGGAGCCCCTGAGTCAAAGCAGCCTCACAGACCCATGCCTTTGGGCTGCCTGCCCAAATGGGCCTCTTGGCTTCAGGGCAATTCAGCCCCTTTAAACTTGCTCGAAATCAAATGCTTAAGTAAAGAGGAAAGTGTACTCTCACCCTGTGGGGCCTGGCAGCCAATTCAGACGGAGAGGCTGGGGAAGAAAGAAATGACTGGCCCAGGGGTGATAACTACTGGACTGTTCTAGCCTTGAGTGGCAAATTAGGGCATTGCTCCTGGCGCCCACTGGGGCCAGGGGGCTTCAGAAGCACGGGCCCACAATGAGCTTGGGCATTTCTCCCCAAGCTCCTCCAAGCTGCCTGAGCCCATGCCCCACCCCTCTACAGTTTGCACAGCCAAGGAAAGTAGTTAGTAGGCTAGAAACCTGGGGTACATTGAAGCTCCAATTCGCGCCCGTGTTTCAGGAATAGGGGAGAAAGAGAAACAAGCCTGCTCTTCTCTCAGTCCAAACCCTAGATTTGAGCAAGATTATTCAAATCCCAAAGCCCACAGGAAAGCCGCCCCCCCCCCCCCCCCCCACCCCCGCTTGCTAGGGTTTTCAAAATAGCGCTCTCAGATTGTGAGCCCCGCTCCTCATTCCCTGCGTGGTCCTAGGCACCCTCCTATGGTCCAGTTACCTATAGCGTTTGGAATCCACCGGCACCACGTCGATGGCCACATAGTATTGCTTCCCTGGGTCCAAACCTTTTACCTTGACCCGAACAGAGGGAAACATCCGCCTGTGGAAGAGAAAATAGGGACTCACCAGGAGGCTTTCAGAGACTTTTGGAGGGGGGCAGGATCAGAGAGAAGTGCTGACTCCAATGAAAATTGAAGGGATACCTTTCCATACCAGGACAGGTTTAGGGAATTGCAATCTCTGTAAGAGGAAAAAATGTTGGTTTATATGTTTCATTGAACAAGTCCAGGATTTCTGAGTGTAGCAGAACATCCTTACTGTAAGGTAATCTAAAGGCTTTGCCTAGCCACTCCCTCACCCTACTGTAATAAAAAGCTAAAGAAGAAAAAGTAGGAGGAGAAACAATGTGCTTCATTGAGTTATCCCCTCCCCACAGTTCTGAAGTACTTTTTGTGAGGCAGATTTGGAAAAGGCTGAAATTAGAAAGACACACACACACACACAAATCACCCAACTACCACGAAAGGGGCTGCCCCACATCAAAGGGTGGCTGGGAGAAAGGCCCACCTCAAACCCCAGATGGTGGCCTAGGGGCCTGTGAGATAGGATATTGTTCACTGGTAACTGTGAGGCTTTAAAGGAGAGGCCTGACCACTGCTGAAGATGTGGGATTGGCATCTGTCAAGTGCCTGGACAGATCTAATTTTAGTCATATACTGCACAGACAGTATATGAGGTAGTGAGTTCTTGGAGTCACAGTGTATAGGAAAGGAAGACTGAGCCACTAATTTAAGCCAGGCAAGTCCTAGCCTGACTGCTTTAGGGGCAGTGGATTTCTAATGCCTGCCCAAGGGGTGGGGAATGGTGATGGAGGGTACTAAAGTGTAAAACTGGAGGCACTGCATATCATATAGTGAGGGGGTGTGTGTGAAAGATTAAGCGCCTACTGTGTGCATGGCTTGCCCCACAGCCCTTAAACAGCTTGGGTAGAGCCAAACCTGCCCGCCTTGGTAATGATCATCTCAGTCCCAATGTCATGGAATCTCTTCCACAGCTCGGATCCTTGAAGCTCCACTTGGATAGCATCTTTCTCTTCCAGACTTTCACTGCTGTTGCCGCTGCTGCCGCCGCCGCTGCCACCACCACCACAGCCAGAGAATACAGTTGCTGAAGGTTCTGTCTTGGGTCGCTTTTGTGCTGGACACAGAGACACCAAGGGTTTGAGAGAGCTTTGCAGTTCGCGCACCTCCTTGCTGGCGCCTGTATGGAGGCAGGCTGGCTTGTCCCTTCCCCAGAAATCCTAGCTATGGATACCCAACCTCCCGCCAGCATCCACTGGAGCCCCGTAATGGAGAAAGAGTGGTCCAGGTCTCACCCTGAGAAAGACGCAGCTCTTCAGATTTGCCCATCCTCGTTTCTCCTGGACAATTTCTGTCTGGGAGACTGGATCCCCCAGGAATCTGAGGACTTGCATTCATTCCTACCCCAAGGGGCAGCCACCCCTCTAGCTCTCTGGGCTTCTTGGAGTTCGGGGAGCCTCACTTCTCCACAAGTGTGTGGGGACTCTCCACGGCAAATGAACTGCAGAACTCCAGACTTAGAGGCACAGAAACCTCCTTTGCAGCCAGATGGTCTAGGTGTCCCCTGGCCCCTAATGCGGCAGCCCTGCTAGGCCAGGACATCATGGGGCAGGGCAAGCTGCCCACCCGCAGCGCTGTGGGTCAGTCGGAGAGAGCCCTGAACCCTGCACGTGCAGCCGGAGGACCCAGGGCAATGGGGCTGTGTGAGGTACTTACCAGGCTGTTCACTCTTCTTGCCTGCTTCGCAGCACCTCCTCTCCTCCTCTCCACCCTCTTTTTCCTGAAGCTTAGGCTGGAATTCTTCTCTTGGGTCTTGAAGTTTTCTTTTGTTGGGTCTCCCTACCAAGGCTTGCACTGAGAAGGCAAGCGCTCGGGAGCTCAAAGCCATCCCTATAGAAAGCGAAGGGAAAGTGCACAGCACAAGTTTTAACCTGAGTATGGGGGAGGGGAGAAGAGGGAGGAAGGGAGGGTGCAGGAGATAGGGGAGGGAGGGAAAGCTGAAAAATCCCCAAATCAAAAAAGCTAAACAAAACAACAACAACAAAAAAAAAAAAACGATTTCTGGGTATGGATATATATGTATATGTTTTTTCTTTCCTTTCTTTGAATATACAGAATGAAAGGAAAGAAAGATCAAACTGGAACCTAACTTCTCCAGAATCTCCTTTCCTTTTGCCGTCTCTTCACCCCCAGTGGACGTATGTGGACCATCAGTCCTGAAATCCCTGCTTCCAAGACCTGGCAGAGCTTGCAGAGATCGGCAATCTAGGGCCTTTTAGGGAGCAGACCTGCCGCCAATAGCGGCCCAGGCCACTCGGATTGGGAGATAATGTTGCACCCGGCTGAGTGAATACAGGCTGGTTGCAGCCTCCATTGTTTGTTTTGGAAACTATTGGAAGCATAAAAAACACCCTGAGTGACACTTCAGAGTCTGACTGCGGAGCAGGGCGGTGGAAAGGAAGGAGAGAGGAGGAGAGGGAGACAACACTGACTATAATACAAGGTTACTGTTTTACATTAAATCGTAAAACTAAAAAACATGCGACATAATTGCTCCCTAGGGGCCACTTTTCTAACAAAAGTGCAAATATTATTTAAGCAGAACCAGAGACGTGTATCTGGGCCTCTTGCTTTCCAATAAAGACACCAGAGAAAGGTAGAGGAGACCAAGTTTTCTGGGCAGGTTCGCTCTTCAATAGGGGTCTCAAACTGGATGTGAGGTACTGCCAGTTTGTCCTCTGTCTCTGGATGCAGAGGCACAGGGAGGGCAGGAGCTCCACCTGCCCCCAGATGGTCACTATCAAAGATCAGAGAGTACTTGGACCTTCAAGCCCTGTTCCTACTGTATCCCAATATTCATACACACAGACTTCTCTTACTTACATGACTTAATCAGCAAACAGAGCCTAAGGACTCCAGGGTTACAAGCAAGCCACCAACAGGTCCTTTGACAACTGTAAAATGTTGGGCTCAAATAATTGATTCCAGTGTCTCCTGGAATATCTTCTTGGGCTGGGTTTTACTTTTTCTTAAAATAGATAAAGGCAAGTTCTTCTTGTCAGATAGAGACTTGTCTACTGCGTCCAAAAAGCGTTTCTGAGATCAGACATGAGATGTTTGCCTGTGTGCATGTGATTTGGTCACCCCTTTTCATCAGAAATAAGAAATCAGATGCCTCAGGGCATTTTTCAGGCTGCATATTCAGTAATGACATGTACACTTTTCCAGAAAGATTCTCCTGTTTTCCTCTGGCGCATTGAGAGCATTTAAAGCCAATTCAGTTTTGTTTAAAATAGGATGGGATTTGAATTAACTGGTAGTATCTGTGTATTGGAGTTTGAGAGGAACAGACTTCTGTGGTCTTTTAATTTCAGCTACTTAGATACAAGGCTGCCTGCCTGTATTTTCTGTGTGATGGAGGTGGTAGCAGTGGGGGAGGAGGTCAACATTCAGCTGGTGCCTTGGGAGGAGATTTTCAGGCAACTGGGCACGGCTTGCTTGGCTACTCCAGAACTCTGATGATCTCATATAAGTGTTAGTTATGACCTGAATGCTGCTGAAGGGTTTGATTAAATAACCAGTTATCTACTGCTCACCATGCAGAGCTGGGAAAGACACCATCCCTACCCTAGAGGGGCAGAGCAAAGCTCACAGGGCAAGGCCAACTCCAGTGTACAAGACATGTGGTCTGGAAAACAATCAGGTCTGGATGTTATCTTGGCCACATCTCCCTGGGCATTTGTTTCTTTCTGGAGTCATTAGAAAAATGGGAATATTAATGCATTAGTCCATGTTCTCTTACTCAGAATATATATATATATATAATCCATTGCATGTTCTTAGCTTAAAGCACAGCCCAGAAACAGAAAAGTGAAGAGTTCATGTGTTAATTTTAGAATGTTAGTCACCATGTAGTGCTTGCATTAGTGTCTCTTAATATAGGCATTTTCTTGTATTTGAACTCTGGCTCACTTTATTGCTAAAAGACAGGTACCTTGGATAACAAGGGAAGGCTTTGCTTGGCAGGTTTTTTGTTTTGTTTTTGCCAGATTTCTGTAAAAATAAGACAAAATATGGTTGTTGCAATATTTGTTCTACTATTTCCGACTATCTTCTATATGTGATTTTTTTAAATTAAGGAAATAGTATTTCTTGGGATATAAGTTCTTTTCTTAGAAGAAACTTCTTCCTCAATATTTATTGCATGCAAGTAATTTAGACTTTTTTTTTGTAATCTAAACTTCCATCCTCATTTAATTATCTATATGATGACATCATTGGGAGAAATGTAGCTAAGCTCTCCCTTATGTGTGCTAGACTACGGTGTAGCTAATTCCTGTTAACTTGTATTTGAGAGAAAATTTATCACATGCCTCAGAACCAACTGCAATCTGTTCAACTGCTGAAGCACCAGGCTATCAGGTACTAGCGGTCTGAGGGACATACGCTCATACTAGCAATTCATTCTCTACAGGTATATGTCTCTTTTGAGCATTTTCTTTATTTCAGCCAACGACACCCAGAAACCCTTATAAGAGACTCTTCAACCCATGCAGGGACAGTGGAACATGCAGAGAGAGCTTCTGGGACCCACAGTTACCCACATTAGAAAGATATATTTTTTTTAAGTTTGACAATTGGAAAATCCTTAGAGTCAAGTGTTGGCTTTGAATTGCCTGAAAAAGGTTATAACCGGGACACAGTGAGCATCTGTAAGTTAAAGGAAAAATAATTTTGTGATTAACACAAATCAAATATATTCACTATCTATGGGGATACAGAAGAGATGAAAGCACCTTAAGTGATATGTTTTTTATTAGAGCTCTTGTGGAATATGAAACCTGAACCTGCTTTAAGGATATAGAAAGCAATTTGCATCCCTAATAAAAATCCCAATATTTTATTAATGGCTATAAGTAGGCATGTTTACTAATACATGCACAAAACAAAGTAGGCCCTGAAAATGCTGCTTCTGGTAATGTAAATGCGGAAATAGATGTTCAGAATTAAGTTAACATGTTTGAAAATTCCAATTCCTACTTTTAATTTATAAGGGAAGGAATGAAACAAATGAAATTAAATAAATCAGTAAGCGTTTCAAATATATATGTGTATATATATATATATATGTATGTGTATATGTATGTATGTATGCAGAGAGAGAGGGACAAAATATATAAAATAAAATACTTTGAGACTTGTTGGATGCCTAGTGCCTCTTTTTGTCAGAGAAGCACAAGCAACTTCATGATAAAGACTTTTCCCTCCAATTGTCATTTTTCTTTGTCTCCTTTGATTCTCATCCCCTCCCCGCCTCGCCACACTTAAGATATTTTGGCCTAGTTGCAAGTGTAAGATCAGCTGCTGGTGACCAGTTTTGCCATTACTTGGGAAAGGTCTACCTGGAAAGAAGCCCACACAGAGGAAAGCAGAGTCAAGAAATGCATACGTCATTTGAATATCTGAATTCAATTTTGCCTGAACTAAGTTACATGAACAATAAGTTATCGTTTTTTTTTTTTTTTTTTTTTGCTGAAGTGAATTTCAGCTAAGTTTCTGTCATTTGAATCAATAGAATCTCAACAAATGCACTCATCTTGATAAAAATTTGCAAGATCACCATCTTCTAGTTCATCTTATTCTAGTTCTTCTTCCTAGCCTTCTGATCCTCTGTCTTCTGCAATACTATTGGGTCTGTGAATTATATGCTATAGACGATCCCAGAATCATAAACTCTGAAAGCAAATTTGACTTTCTACGTGAATTCCTAGGACTATAATAATAAAAGGAATATGTTTCAAGCAGTACAGCATGTTGGAAGGCAGACTTTGGATTCAAATTGATCTGATTCAAATTCTGACTGCTACTTTCTATCTAGCTGAACTTACACAAGTCTTTCTGACATTCAGTTTATTTTTCAGCTCCTAAGATTTTACATCTACTAATACCTTCATCATAGTGCATGTTTTTGAGTGTGTGTGTGTGAGTGTGTATCTGGGAATTTGTAAATAATTTATGTAGACTGCTTAGCACAAGAGCTGGACCATAGTAAGCATTCACAACTGTTTTTATCATTAAAGAGATGATGGTGGTTAATTTGAAGAATGTGCTAATGTTTGTATTGAGTATACAGCTATAAATCCTTTGTGAACAGACACTAGAAGGAGAAAAATGTTTGCCAACATTGGCACCCTCAACTTTTGGTTAAATTCTAAAGCAGATTCAAAATGTAAGAAGACTTCAGGGAAATCACCTTTCTTAAACCGATGTGAGAACTATTTTATAATTAGTGAACTAAATCAAAATATTTCATTTCAGTTTCAAAAGTAACATTAAGTTTTTGTTTATGGGGATAGAAAATTTGGAAGTGGATACTGGTGATGGTTGCACAACATGATTGATGGAATTGGTTTTACTGAATTATACCTGTGAAAAAATGTTGAATTGGCAAATGTCATGTTATTTGTATTTTTAGAACAATTAAAGAAAAGAAGTCCATGAGAAACATGTCTGATAGAATACATACTCTGATTTTATCAACATGATCTTTGGAAAGATAATTTTGATATTTTACCAGTGCAATGTAAGTGTATGTTCTTCCTCTTACAGTAAGCATATAAAATTTACTAATGACAGGCCCCTGGCACACAGAACTCTTCTCACTCCAGGAAATTGAGGGAACTGGTCTAATTAATATTAAAAGTAATTTTCACAGTGAATATCTCAACTTCCAGTTAGCTTAATTCAACATAATCTCTTAAGAAGTCCGTGCCTTTTTGAATCTAGCAATTGAGTTATGCATGCCAAACTTTGTCACCCTTGTTCCTGGTGTGGAGTGGGGGAAGAGCCAGTAGGGAGACATATTCTTATCTGTACTTATTGTGTTCC